CCCGGCTGGGAGACAGGGGAGGGGTGGGCAGCAGCTCAAACTTTTTCCAGATGTCCTCCCCGGGGGGAGCGGAGTCCGGCCCGCACAAATAAAAATCATCTTCGTCCGGGTAGAAACAGGGCTGCAAAGAGTCGAACTCGAGGTCTGGGTTTTTACTGACCATTCCTGGCATTACGGGTCTCTTCTTGCCGATCCCTGGGTCGGGCAATGGTTTTAGAGACAGGTTTTATGGGTATTTCCAGCAAGGGGAAGAAGAGAGGTTCTCCCAAGACCTGAAACTGAACCAAAAATAAAAAAACAACCACAATTAAAACACTGAAGAAACAGACAGACACGAATGTGACTCCCTTCCTCTTAACCGAAGGAAAAAAAAATAAAATCCCATCATCAACAGGAAGAAAGAGGGAGCCTTTTGCAAGTTGCGAAAAAATGCACCTCACACACCTTTCCTCCCGACTCAAGATATTCAAAGAAAAGCGATCAGGTAGTGCTTCCAGATGCAAAGGTTTCCGCCGTCCCCGGCGCTCCGTGAGGACACAAAATCAGCCGGCAAGGTACAGCAAGGATGCAAAGCACCTCTGTGCTTTTGCACATAGCACTCGCCCGCTCTCCCCAAACTGCTTCAAACGCTCAAAACAGCAGAGTAACTGTAGACAGATGCAAGGCTTTGATACCGTAATCTCTCCAGAAAGCCCTCTTAATATACCAGCAAAAGTAGAGGAAGTTTACTCCTTTTGTCATCTGCGGAGCAGTGCAAAGGGGAGAGAGAAGGATGCAAAAAAGGGGGCGGAGGGGCTCTTTGCAACTTCGCAAATCGCCAGTTCATTCACTCAAAGCGAGCCAGAGAAATCCGCACAAAACACAAGGGGGGGGAAGAGGAGGAGGGGAAATTCAGCAGCAACAGAAATTATCAACCTTATGTAATAATCTCACGCACAAAAATGCATTAAAACCACCCCGGCGCCACCAACAAAGCCTCCTGATTTGCCAAGAAGGTACGGGAAGTTTTTTCTCCCCCTTTTTCCAGTTTAAGACAAGAGCAACGGAGAGGTTGCAAGGACAACAACTTCGCGCATTTTGCCACTTCATACAACCAAACCTCCTGCAAACACACCGGCTTTCCAGCCCTCACCTCCGGAAAATGCACGCTGCTGCCCTTACCTCGGCCGGACCCCCCACTCGCTAGCCACGACCAGTCAACCACAGCCCCATTCCTCTTCCGAGACCTCAGTTGCATCAGACATTAAAAAAAAAAAAAAAAAAAAAATTACTTTAAGTCCAAACCAGACATTCAGCGTCTCCCTTCAGCTCGCTTAAGGTAACGCGAAGGGAAATCGTTCTGCTGGGTTCAGAACAGCTGACGCTGAAAACGGAGACCAAAAGGGGGGAAAAAAAATCCATTAAAAGCCTTATGATGAAATGCAAAGAAACGAGCCCGGCTCAGCTGCTCTCCCCCTGCCCCGCCCCCTGATCACTTCCAGTATTGTACATTTTTCTACTCGTGAAATACATTAAACCGTTAAAAATGCAAAGCAGTAAAGAGGCACCTACAAAACACAGGCGATCTCAATGCGACAGCTCCAAAACAAAACAAAAATATCCTCCAGGATTTTCTTCTGCTCAATGAAAAACCCATTCACGCACTGCAATGCCCCTGCGCTTCCTTTCCCTTCCCATCCTCCCTAGTTTAGCAACTCAAATGCGATGTGGAATTGTATTTATTTGATTGGTTTTTTGTCCTCCTGCTTATTACAGCCCAGACCCTGCAGCTTCCTCTTCTTACCTCCTTGGCGATGGTGGTGGGTGTTGCAAGGGGGAGGAGTGGCG